ATTTAAGTCTTTGATCCATCTGGAGTTCGTTTTTGTGTGTGGTGTGAGGTACAGATCTTGTTTCATTTTTCTGCAAATGGATCTCCAGTTTTGCCAGCACTATTTATTAAACAAACATTCTCTTCCCCATTTAATGGATTTTGGGCCCCATGTTCTGATTATTAATGGCTGTTTGGCACTGTTTCTCCTCAGTTTGAGTGGTGCTGTGTCAGCAAATGGAGGTCTTGATAGCTTTACCTTATCCATATCACTAAGGCTGGTTTTGCTCTGATGATGCAGCTCTTTCCCAATCCTATTTTGAGAGTCTTCTAACCTAAGTGACTGATCCTCTTCCTCTGTATTAGTGTTTCTGGACTATTCATAAAGTTGTGCAGTAATATATCAGACAGTGTTTCTCTGCTATTCATAATGTTTTCCGTGGCCAATTCTTTGAGAAGTGGATGGCCTCTTCCTTCTTCGTAGTCTGTCTTAGTCTGCAAGCCTGCCTGATACCTGTGCACCATGTGTACCCTGTTGGGTTTGAAACACCAGTGTCCCTTAGGACTCACAGCAACACGTCATCACAGTAGGACAAACTGAAAGACAAGTTTGTCTCCTTTAACTGTTGGAAACCTCTCCAACTGCTCCTTACTTGGATCCCTTCGGCTGACTCCTCACTCTGTCCTGGTCCCCCTTACCTTTTTACTGTCCTTTCTCCTGCTTTTTTGCCTTGCTCTTTGTGGTGCATGGCCTGGGTTCCCTCTCCTCACCTGGATCCCTCTGGCTGATTCCTCGTTCTGTCCTGGTCCCCTTAGTTTTTATAGTGTTCTTTCTCCTGCTTTCCTGCCTTGCCACGTATGGGGCGTGGCCTCTCCTCATCTGGATCCCTGGGGCTGACTCCTCCTTTTTTTAGACATAGATAAATTTTTCCTAAGATTTATATGGAAATGTACAGGTCCTAGAACAGCTAAAAAGTAATGAGGAAGGATATAGTGGAAGAAATCATTTTACCTCAATATCAAGGCCTATAATTGTGCAAAGGAGCTCTGATGGTACAGATGATTAAACCATTTGGCCACTAACAAAAGAGTGGGTGGTTTGAACCCACCAGATGAGTCAGTCTGCTTTCGTGAAGATTTTTTTTTTGTTGTTGTTATGTGTGTCAAGTCAGATCTGACTCATAGCGACCCCTCCTTGGGTTTCCGAGGCAGTATCACTAAGGAAGTAGATTGCCCAGCCTTCCTTCCGAGGAGTGGCTGGTGGGCTTGAACCACCAACCTTCTGTTTAGCAGTCAGGTGTCTTAGGCACTAAGCTACCAGAGCTTATGCTGGTCATATACAGGCATTCAAATTCCAAAGTGATTGCCTGACCCCCTACCTGTAGGTACGTGCTGCACGCCATCCAGGGAAACAAGAACCTCGGCCCCAAAGAGGCAGCGGCAAGGCCAGTAATTTATAGCCATTTTCAGTTCTTGATCAGCTCTGCATAGTACAATTCTCAATTCATCAAGTGAAACAGAGTAAAGTGCCAGATTCTAGGCCATTTTCACTATAATTTTATGAATGTTACTTATACTGGGGACGAGATAAATGTGAGGGAGCAAAGCGAAACACACCCACAGACAACGTGGCTCTGGACAAAGCAATGACAGCACCTCAGTCAGCTCAGCACAGCTCTACACGCACACCCTGATCTCCCAAGTGTCGCATCCCAGCAGGAAAGGAGTAAGGCAGTGGTTTGCTGCATCTACCCAGAGGGAGGAAGCTCCAGCACCCCTGTGAGAGGAACTTAACTAGTCAGGACCGTGGTCTTGGAAGGGCTGTAATAAAAACCTGTGAGCGTATTTCATCTAGCTCCTATGGGAACCTCCACCAACATCTCCCAACACCCTTCTTTTAGGGTTCACCTACTGAAATGTCAACCAGTTTTGGCTGAATAATCCATTGGAGGAGGGTCAGTAGAGAGACAGGACTACCTGGAGATGGGGACAGACAGGAGTCCGCAAGGCCATCAGCAGACAGCTCTTCCTTGTTTTTAATACAAGGTGCCTTGAATCCTGCATGTTGATCTGAATAAAACCAAGGTACTACTCACCTTGGCAGCCACTTTTCTGCCTTTTTTCTTGGAAACCACAGCAATACAGAACTCAACATGCAGGTCAGGAGAAGCACTGAGGGGAAAGCAAAGTGGTGAGTGGAGTCTGGGGAGTGACTCTGAAGTAAAGAGAAACAAAGAAAATGAATCAGCACCTCAGCTCCAGGAGCTCCTCTTCACACAGCTGCTGCCTTCCTGCCTCAGAAAACCATGTACTGCAAAGAAAATAAGGAGCAAGAAGAAAAAGGACGGAAGGAAGAACGGGGAAGAGATGGTGGTATGGGGGAAAGAAAAAAAAAAAAAAAAGAAAGCAAGCACAAACAGGCAGGCACTAGATAGCTACCGCAGAGCCAAGAATGGACTAAAACCCACTTGTTAGCAGCTGACATGCATTCACAAGCTCTGTTTCCATTGTGAGAGAGGAGGATGAGTGTCAGGCGCAGGAATGGTGGCTGCAGGGCTACTGGTCCAAGGGACTGACCAGGCCGCAATCTTGCTCCCCCCCACTTCCGTCCCTACTACAGGCTCATACCTGCTCTTTGTGAATGACTTCCTCTCTGGGCCTGGCTTGCCTGAAGATAGCTGAGTTGGGATTGGCTAGTTGGTTGAGGGGTGTGGTGACTGTTTGGGGTTTAAGCTGGAGTTGTGGTCTCTGTGCTCTTTCCTCTTGTTTTGATTCTCTAAAATCCATATTGATCCACGAAGTGAAGGGTTGTCTCGAAAGCGACTTCCCATTGGAGGGCCTGTTCGCTGGTTACCAGAGCGACTACCTCCCATGCCTCCTAAGTCTCTGAAGCCATAATTTAAGTCATCCCAGGAATCCCAGGCACCTCTGGATTTGCAAGAGCCACCCATTCCTCTGTCATCTGGTCCACCTTTCCTGACTCTAAAGCCACCTTTATCTTGTTTTCTGCCTTCTGCAATGTCCACACAAAGTGACCGATCACCCAACAGTGCACTATCGTACATCAAAGCTTCCTTTAGGGAATCCACCTCATCAAACTCTATATAGCAGAATCCTTTAAATTTGTCTGTGTCTTTGTTTCTGATTAGCCGTATACTACTTATGCTGAGATCCTTAAAGATAGCATGTATGTTTCTCTGAGCCGTATTAAAAGGTAGATTTCCTACATAGGCTATATAGGGGGATTTTGTGGGCAGCTCCTTCTGGCTACGAGAACCATGGCTACCAGTGCTGCTGTGGAATGTAGAACCCTTTGCCACCGCCGAAGTTGCTGTAGGCCCTCCGAGAGGAACCAGCTAATTTGTATAACTTACTGAAGTGACAGAATCATAGAAGTGCAAAACTGATTAGCGGTTGCTAGGATTCAGGAATGGTGAGGAAGTATCGTGGTGTTAAACAGCAAGGCAAAGTATCCTTATGATGGTGCTGTTCTGTATCTTGACTGTAACAGTGTCAACACTGTGATTGTTGATATTATATTATAATTTTTCAAGATGTTACTATTAAAGGAAACTAGGGTACCTGGGACTTACCTGCATTAGTTAATGTGAATCTATTATTTTTTCAAAATGAAAGTTTAAGTAAAAACCTTTGCTGTTAAGTGCTTTTAGCATATACTACTGCTGCCAGAGCTCTTTGTTGTTGTTGTTACTTTGCCGTCGAGTCGGACCTGACTTATAGCGACCCCTCCTTGGGTTTCCAAGGCAGTATCACCACGGAAGTAGATTGACCAACCTTCCTTCCGAGGAGTGGCTGGTGGGTTTGAACCGCCAGCCTTCTGGTTAGCAGTCAAGTGCCTTAGACACTATGCTACCAGAGCTCCCTAGGAACTCTAAAATGAGCTGGTAAAGTGAAAAAAACCTTCAGAAATACGAGTTTTGTGATTTATTTTGTTGTATGTTAGTTTTTTTTTTTCCTTTTGATTTCTTCAGTTACTCTAGAAATTTTTATTTATTTCACATTTATTTTTCAATTTTCTTTTGTGTTCTAGTATAACTTGTTGAATCATTTGTAGTACTTTTTCTTCCTTATAGTTTGACTTTAATTAAAAGAATGTTAGTTAGATTATACATAAAATTTTAGACAGGAAAATTTGACATAAGACATTGTTTCCATCATCTGGTTTTATTTGTGACACGGGCCAAGTAACATGGAAAAAAAATCTCATCTGATAAATAAGCAGTTCAAGTGGTCATTATTTATATATGTATTTTTTCTTTAACAGAAGATTTCATATCAAACAGAGAAAATGGACCTGCAGAGATAACATGGAGTTCCAGTGAAAGTGTTCTGTCAGATGAAGGAAAGACAGTTTCTAAATCACCAAATGGTAATGGACATCGTTCTAGGAGAGACAAGTTTTGCAACAGAAAAGCTTTATGTCCAGAAGATGAGGCTAGTGAAGGTAAATTGATAATTTTGAGAGAAATCTAGTTTCTGTTACATATTGAGTTCAATATTGGGAAAAATTATTCTTAGTATAGTATTTTTTGTTTTGATCTTACTTAGTACCAGCCTCCATGCTACGTGCTCTGGAAACATTTTCTCATTATATACTAATTTTTAAAGAATAATTTATTTTTGTTGTTTTTGAGAATCTATACAGCAGGATGTACACCAATTCAATAATTTCTACATGCACAATTCACTGACACTGATTACATTCTTCAAGTTGTGCTACCATACTTACCCTCCTTTTTCAAGGTGTTCGTCCCTCATTAACATGAACTCACTGCTCCCTAAGTTTCTGATCTAATCTTTCATGTTGCTGTTGTCAGTTTAATCCAATCTGGATAGGTCTTAAAAGCGCTCAAGGCACACATTCTTTAGCAGTTAAGCTAAACTGTTGTTTGATTTTAAGAAGGCTTCAGGGAATATTTGTGGTTTATGGGTCAAGGTTTGAAGGTTATCTCAGGCAGTAATTTCAGAAGTTAATCCAGCCTCCAAAGCTCCAGAAGGTCTGGAGTATGTGAACATTTGAAATTTTGTTCTACATATTTCCCCTTTTGATAAAGAGTCTTCTATAGAATCTTTGATCATAATACTCAGTAATGATAGCCAGGCACTATTTAGTTCTAGTCTCATGGCAAAGGGGGCAGTTGTTCCTGGAGGCAATTTGCTACACATTCCATTTCCTCCTCCTTTTCATGATGTTCCTTCTTCTTGCTCCAGGTGAATAGAGACCAATTGATGTATCTTGGATGGCCACTTGTAAGATTTTAAGAACCCAGGCACTACCCAACAGACTAGCAGATAGAACAGAAGCACTTAACATGATATTAGGCCAATGAACTGGGATGTCCCTTTAAAGTATGGCCCTGAAACTCCAAATCAAGGACTGATATCCCATGACGTGTTTGTTTATAAATTAGCAGCTTCAGCAGCTATCTTAATTTTTTGTCCTTGTTCTAAATATATCTATTGCATAATTTTTGCCAATTCAGTGTGATTTTTCCATTGCCATAAACTGACAGACGAATGCTGGGCTATATACATATACCCCCCCAAACAAAACAAAACAAAAAACCCAGACTCAATGTTGTCGAGTCGGTTTTGACTCATAGCAACCCCTTCTTGGGTTTCTGAGACAGTGTTTCCATAGAACTAGATTGCCCAGTCTTCCTTCTGAGGAGTGGCTGGTGAGTTTGAACCACCAACCTTCTGGTTACCAGTCAAATGCCTTAGGCACTACACCACCAGAGTTCCCTATATAGGAGTATTTTATATTATTCAGCCCTAGAAAGCAATGAAATTCTGATATAGGATATGGCATAGATCAACCTTGAAAATATTTTGCTAAGTGTAAAAAACAAATATTACATATTCTAGTATATGTACATTCATGGAGACAAAAACAAAGTTAGAGGTTAATAGTAGCTGGATACTTCTTCATAAAATCCAGTTCTTAGATTATTTGCTCAGCATCCAGATTGAATGAGTATGGGGGAAAAGTACACACATCTTTGCTGATTTTAAAACATGTAGTATCCCTCTCTTGTGTTTGAACATCTGCCTCTTGGTTTCTGTACAGATTCCACATGAGCACAATTAAGTGTTCTGGAATTCCCCTTCTTTGTGATGTTACAAAGAAGTAATGTTCTTCTTTATAATGTCCTTTGTTATGACCCACATAATTGAATGCTTTTGCATACTCATTAAACTACAGGTAATCTCTCTCTGGTATTCTCTGCTTTCATCCCATGTCTATCAGACATCAGCAGTGAAATCTGTCAGCAATTATATCAGCTTGAATTTCTGGCAGTCCTCTATCTATGTATTTCTGCAGCCAATTTTGAATTATCTTCAGCAATATTTTACTTGTGTGTGATATCAGTAACATTATTTGATAATTTCCACATTGTGTTGGATCACCTTTCTTTTGAATGGCACAAATATGAATCTCTTCCAGTTGATTGGCCAAGTTTCTTGGGGTAGACTAAGGAATGTTTCCAGCATTGCATCTATGTGTGGAAACATTTCAGTTCGTATTCTGTCAATTGCTGCAGTCTTCTTTTTCACGAATTCCTTCAGTGCAGCTTGGACTTGTTCCTTCAATATGATCAATTCTGTCTGCCTATCTATCTATCTATCTATCTATCTATCTATTAATTACTATAATCCCTACAGTGTAACAGCATTCTTCCCACTTCCTCCCTGTGTCTGCCCCTTCCCTTTGTCCTTTATTCTCATCCCTTCCTAGCTCTGTCTCTGGGCAAATGCTATCCTCTTAATCTTATATGCTTGATTGTTCTGATGAGCGCATACCCTTTGGATATTACCGTTCACTTTATAGGCCTGTCTATTGTTTGGCTGACAGTTGAGTCACAGGGGTTAAGTTCAGTTCCTGGCTTGGAGGGTATCAAAGGGCCATGGTCTTGGGGTTCCACTAGTCTTCATCAGACTGGTAAGCCTGATCTTTTATATGATTTTGAGTTTTGTTCTATATTTTCTTCCACTGTATCCAGAAACCTGTTATTGTGATCCCTTTCAGAGCATTTAGCAGTAGTAGCCGGGCACCATTTAGTTCTGCTCTCAGGGTCCTGGAGGTTGGGGATCATGTGGTCTATTAGTCAGTCTTTTGGTCTAATTGTTTCCTTGCATCTTCAATTTTCTTCACTCTTCTTTGCTCTGGATGGGGAGAGACCAATAATGCCACCTTATATGGCTGCTCAGTTTCTAAGACTGCAGTCACTATTCTTCACAGTAAGATGTAGAACATTGTCTTTGTGGACTGTGTATTATAATTGAACTTAGTGTCCCTCGAGAATATGGTTTTGATCCTTCATACACAATGACTTATTCCCTCAAGTTGTTTGGTTATGACTAAGACTTTCATAACTTTTCCCCTGTATACTCTACTACATTCATGGATGTATTTGCAGCACATATAAACACATAAGTAGGTGTATATATGTTCATGAGTGTAGTCACATTCACCTGTCTACCCTTGCTCAGATTGACTGTCTATTTATGTATCCACTTGAAAATTATTATTACTATTGTAAGATTGTAGATTTAATAGTGCTTACCTTTGTCACCTTTAACTCTTGTGCACGTCCTTATGTCTTCCACGGCCTTGATTGTTTTGTGCTGACCTCCCCTTATTGTACATTGCCTTTCCCTTCATCCAAATTAATACGTATCTACCATCTAATTGGCAGTTTCTATCCCTTCCCCTCCCACCCCTGGAAACCTTCAAAGAACAATTATTTCTGTGTATAAACCTTTTCTTAACTTTTTACAATAGTGGCCTCATACAATAGCTAATTTCACTCAGCATAATGTCCTCTAGGTTAATCAGTGTTTTTTTTTTTTTTTTTAATTTATAATTTTTTTATTTTTGTGGTGTTCCTTCCCTTCCCTTCCCACCCTTGCTAATGAACAAAGAGTTTCCTTCTATATATAAACCTTTCCATGACTTTTTACGATAATGAACTAATATAATACTTGTCTTTCTGTGATTGATTTATTTCACTCAGCGTAATGTCCTCCAGGGTCATCCACATTCTGCAGTGTTTCACAGATTCTACATTATTTTTCAGTGTTGCATAGTATTCCATTGTGTGTATATACCTCACTTAGGTTATCCATTCTTCTGTTGATGGGCGCTGTGGTTGTTTCCATCTTTTGGCTATTGTAAGTAGTGCTAGATGAACATGGATGTGCATATATCTGTTCTTATCCTAGCTCTCACTTCTTTGGGATATATACCTAGTAGTGGGATTGCTGAATCAAATGTTATTTCTAATTCCAACTTTTTAAGGAATTGCTATATTGCTTTCCACGATGTTTGTGTCATTTGACAGTCCCCCCACCCCCCAGCAGTGTATGAGAGTGCAATCTCTCTACATCCTCGCCAGCATTTGTTATTTTCTGTCATGTTGAACTTTGCTATTAGTGCTGGGACAAGATAATATCTCATTGTTGCTTTGATTTGCATCTCTCTAATGACTAATGGAGGAGCTCTGGTAGCATAGTGCCTAAGACACTTGACTGCTAACCAGAAGTCTGGCGGTTCAAACCCACCAGCCACTCCTCAGAAGGAAGATGGGGCAATCTACTTCCATAGTAATACTGCCTCGGAAACCCAAAGAAGGGTCGCTATGAGTAGGGTCCAACTTGACGGCACATAACAACGACGACTAATGGTTGTGAACATTTCTTCATGTGTTTGTTGGCTGCCTAAATATCCTCTTTGGAGAAGTGTCTATTCATGTCTTCTGCCCATTTTTTTTTTTTTTTTTAAATATTTCTTCTAAGAGCTTATTTTACATTCAACATTATGTGTACATTTAGTTTCACTCTCCATTTACCATGCCCAACCCTAACCCAGTTTCCTCCCCTCCTTGACCAGTAACCCTCTCCCTGTGCCCCACATAGTTTTGCAATCCTGTTTGTCCTGCATTTCCTGAATTTGAATGTTGCCCCTCTGGTGCCCCATGGTCTATTGCTCTAAGGGATGTATTAATATAGAGATGTGGGTGTGTCATCCTGAGTTGAGTGGTCTGTATGTACATCTTGTTAACTATTGGGCTGAGAGCCAGCCCCTGGGAGTGAGTCTTATTCTAGGTGCAGAATGTATTCCAGGGCCATAGTATTGGGGGTTTCATCAGACTCCCACCTGAACAGTAATTCTGGTAATTATTGAGTTTTTGGCTTTTGTTCCATGTTTTTCCTCCCAATCTATCCAGGATCTCTAGATTTTATCCTTTCCTGAGCGGTTGTCATTGGTAGCCAGGCCATCATTCTGGCTCTTCTGGTCTTAAGGGCCATCATGTCCTAGGGCTGATTGCTTCCAAATGCCCTTGTTTTTTGCACTCTTCTTCGCTT